AATAATTAAGAAGGTTACCGAACCGTACATCATTAGGAGTTTTACACACTAAAATTGATACAAGAGACCAAATAACCAAATAAAAAGCTAAAGAAATAGCTTATGTCTAGAAATCTCTAAAAAACCTAACATGCAACAATATACATCTTATTCTCTCTAATAAATTTATGTCTATCCTTTCATCTACATCTTTCTATTGGGATGTATGTCTAACTTTATAGTGTCTAAAAGTACCTTTTTACGTAACATATCAAACTATAATGAACAAATTCTAGATCATTGTCTATCGTAAGCCATTTTACTATTTTTTTCAATTTGCTTCACAATCATAATCTTTCATTGTTTAAAATTCTTAAACTCTTTATATTTGTTCTTAAGAAAGTAAACATAAATCTTTATAAAGTAATCATCAATAAAAATCAACATATATTTAACATTACCTTTAGAATGAAATCTAGAAGTATTAGTGTAGGTGTTCAAGATCCAACCTTGTTTGGATGGCGTGACTTATTGTAATATTACATTCTTTCTTTAATTAATAAAAAAAATCTTTTTATTAATTCTTGTCGTTTATATTTTGATGGAATTAGATAAAAATCCATATGATATGATTGAATTAATAATTGATCGAAAGCTTTGAGATAAATATTAATGCACTTAAATGATATCATTAAATGTCCAAAGTCATAGCATTGTCAAGAATGGACATTGACTATATACAAGTAAGACTTATGAGTGCTATACTCATACTATACGATAATAGTAGAAGATCTCATACCTATTAGCATGATGATTAAAAACAAGCATTTAGGTGATTAATGTTAAAGAACGTATCACCGGACGTGACTCGCTATAAACACCTATTTGGTTTAGTCTATGGGAGATGGGTACAATTGGTCCTTTGACTTAAAGTTATCTCGATTATCTCATTAGATGATTTATATACTTGAAACTCATTTTGATAGGCTTTGCATGTGGGCGATTCGTTGGATATATTAGAAATCTAATGAAGATAGGTTGATGACTAAGATAAGATATGTCATTCCTTGTATACTAAGAGAGTTATCACATTATACTTCAATAAATATCTTTTTAAGAAATCTATAGTCATAGTGGGACTATACCAATAGAGCATAGTTGGTTTACTCTAGAGCTGAGATATTTGAGAATTAAAGAAAATTAATATGATCATAATCGAACATACTATAAACTAAGTTCGAGATCACACCGTGATAAATTGATATAAGGACTCGAATTATATGATAACCATGATAATGAAAGATAATTATAGATTAATTGATCCTCTTAGAGAATTGAATAGTAATGATGCCTTGCTAGAGGCCAATCTTGATTTACGTATCAAGAAACAAAAGAAGTGTCTTTTATTCTTAATACATTACTAACATATTTAGGAGCCGATTGAGTCACATACATAAGTTTAAGCATTTACATAATAAAAGAGAAGCAAAGATTTTGGAAAAAGGTTTTTAGTTTTGAAAGTTTTCTATTTTTGAAAAGGTTCCTATTTTGAAAAATGTTTCCTGTTTTGAAAAGTTTTATGTTATGGAAAAAGTTTCCTATTTTGAAAAGTTTTCTCGTTATGGAAAAAGTTTCCTAAAATGAAATTTTTTTAATTTTAAAAACTAGTTTCCTAATTTGGAAGTTAGTTCCAAATTTGAAAGTTAGTTACCTAAAAAGAAAATTAGGTTCCTAATTTAGGCTTAAGGGTAATTTGAAAAATTATTTCTTAATATGGGCTTCCTAAAAATATCTTACCCAATTTATTTAGATAGTCCAAATTAATTGGTAATTAATTAGGTCAAAAGAGTTTGAGCCAATAAGTTTAGTTTAAAAATCTCTAAGATATTTTAGTGGGAGGATAAACTTAAGCCCTATTGGATAAGACTCGGGGTTTACAAGGATAAAATCAAACAAGACCACACATATTGCAACTCCTTATGCTTGAAAGACAAGGATGCCACCCCTTATATAAATAATAGGGAGAGAAGTGACAAGGTGGACATAATAAGATACAACATATGATAAAAGAGAAAGAAAAGAGAGAAAGCATTTCTCTCCCAAAAGCCTCGAGTTGCCATATAAAACTTCGATCGTAAAACCCTAACTAGTTATTGTAAAAACCCTAACTAATTTCTTTAGAAAGCAAACCAACTATATAGAAGGATTGGAGCTAGCGCTCTATGATTTTTATGCCTTTCTTTATGGATATTTAAGCTACATAGATTATCAATAGAGGCCAAATACTTGGATAGCTCCTTTCTGCAAAGGCTAAATTCGTGTTATAAGAGGTAAATCTTTTACTCATGCTTTTAATTCATGTATGTATGATTAGTTAATTTAATGACTTGATCTTGGGAGCTTTAGATAGAGAAATTTTTTTATTTTATTTTGTATTTTCATAGGATGCATGATCCTTTAAGAAGGCCTTTAAAGATAATAATAAACATAATATAAAGCATTTTTTTATTATGTGAATTGAACCATTAAAGCTAACCCACTTTTTTTACACAATACACGAGTACTTACAAAAATCTAACCGACCTACACTCTAGCCACACAGACAAATTCTTTTTGCTCAATAAATTCATTTCCCGTTCACTCATATTCTTTAGTCTCATATGTCATAACTTGGGTTACATTTGAATTTGACATGGAAGATGAGAAAAATATAGCAATTCTAATCATTGTAGCACCCTATAACACATATATGTTAGGAGAAACTATTTTTATCTTTATGGTAAAAAGCTTACCTTATGGACCTATATAACTCTACCTTCAACAAATCAAGAATACTTAGACACACCAAAATTTTCTTTATATCATGAACTTTTCTAACATTAGTAAGTGTGCTAACTACTCCATCATGCGTTTTGATTCGAAAAATCTTAATTCTAACAAACTTGATAGGAGTATTATCATTCATAAAAACAATTCCACTATTAATAAATGTGTGAAAAACCAACTCTTATTAGGAGTGGTATGAAATGCACAAACCGTATCCATTATCCAATTATTCTTAAAACCTAAATCACCAAATGCAGTAAAAACATACTCTAACTTGTCGAATTATCTTTAACAACATTAGCCTTAGTGTTTTTTTTTCATTGTTGTCCTTTTTCCTCTAACTATGGGCATCGTGATTGGAATTCTGATTTTTATTATTCCATTTAGGATAGTAAGTCTTAATATGTGTTTTTTTTTACAATGAAAACAAATGATATTCCTATATCTTGATTGTGATCTCCTGCGATCACCATCATTTTCCGTACCTTGCTCCCTAGACCTACCTCTTGTTACTAGTAATTACCACTAGAATTGTCACTTAAGTTTCTCTCCATCGGATCTTTATAAAATAACAAACACTTAACCTTCTCTAAGTTATAGTTTTCTACTAAATAGGAAAGTCTCTTTAAAGTTCTAATACGTAAGAGGAAAAAAAACATAGAAATAATAGGGTTTGATACTCATCATCAATTTCAACAACAATAAACAATAAATCCATAATAATCAAATTAAAATCCTTTAGATGAGATTTTATTGGTGCACCTTCTGCTATATACAATATATACAAATAATATTTTAGAGAGAGTTTGTTTGTCAATGACTTAGTTATGTACAAGGATTCTAGCTTTACCTATAAACTACATGTGGTCTTTTCAGCCATTGGTTCTTGCAAAACTCCATTTGATAAATAGAGTTGGATTGTTGTCAAAGTTTTGCCATCCTCGTCTTCCCATCTATCGTCCGTCATTATAGTTTTTTTTCTTTATCATCGAGAGCTTTCTTTAAATCCTTTTGGAAAAGAACCATTCTCATCTTAACCTATCAAAGGTTAAGACTATTGAGTCCATCAAACTTCTCAATATCATGTGTTGACAAAGAGATTGTGATTTATATAACTCAATCACAAACAACAAACCCGGAGCTCGCTATCAATTTGTTAAAGATTACACACATATATAGAGAATATCACAACAAACAAAAAAGAAAAAAACCAAACAATATAATGATTTTACTTGGTTCAACTATGCCTAAGTCCGCAAACCACAAGGAGAAATTTTACTATAATATAAAACCATTGCGATTTTGAAAAACTCTCATACCAAACCTTAAATTCTTCCAACCCTCACAACATACAACGACTCACGAGAGCATACAATTTGACCACATAGGAAAATAAGTTTAAGCACATATTTATAAGAAATATGTCTTAGTCCTAATGGATACAGGATTAATAACAATCCAAAACCTACAATGTTTCTAATGCTAACCAATCTTAGGCCGATAAGAATTCTATTGTCGGGTCCTTGTATAATTAGGATTATAATTCAAGTCGCTTCATAACTTATAGATTGATATATCATCAATCCATGGTGTAAGTTTTTTTTTTTTTTCAATGTAGTTATCATTAACTTATCAAGTCTACCAATCAATTTTTTCAGTTTGATATAAGCCTTTATATATATATATATATATATGGATGGGAAATTTGGATATTTCGATGTTAAAAAAAAATAATAATAACGACAAGATATCTATAATTTTTTCTACAAAAATACAAAAACGAGAAAAAAAAACTTCAAACATAAAATTCCATGTTAAATCTTAGATTGAAAGCAATTGTAGACGCTACTAATCTAAACATAAATCTATATCTCTTTTGTTATTATTTTTTTTTGGTTTATGTTTGTCATAACCTTTTTTAAGTTCTCGACCCATTGCATAATCTAATATAATTTAATGACCCAGCTGGTTAAGACAAAAATATCAATTTTCAAAGATTTTATTTTGGTTATACCAAAACTCTGACCGTTGTTGACCATCAGAACCGACCAAATGGAAGAAGAAAATAATAATAAAACAAAAAACAAAATTGCGCACAAAGACCACGTGCATTACTGCAAAATTTGTAGTACGGATGCCCATAAAAGGTTGTAGCAGTCCAGAATAAACTCATTTCTAATTTGTGTCCTCTTTCAATGGATCTTTCTTGCGCTCTTAGATTCCACCAACCCAACCTCTCTCTTTCTCGCCGGAAACTTGAGTCTCCGAGCATCCATCCGCTTAAACAGTTCCTACCTACTATTTCCCTGCCTGATATTTATTCTAATACCAAACCATTTCTAAAGTTACCAAGGTCCCGCCACTCAACTGTCGTGACTGCTAAGTTGAAGAAGCCAATAGATGGTGTGAGTGAAGAGCTGAACTTGATTGCTTCACAAAGTTTAGATTATGCCCCAGCTCGCAGAAGGGTTCGATCAGCTTTTGTTCAAGTGCAACAGCAGCTTGATCACCCCCTTTTCAAGGTTTGTTTCTTTTCTTGCTCTGATCACGATCGTATTACCTGTTTTGATCTTTTGAATTTACACTGTTGCTGACTATGTTATTTACTTTGGATCTTGATTGGTGGATAGATGGCTCCTCCAGGGATTAAGACATACGAGGTAAGCACTGCTGCTTTCCACTAGTATTTGTAACCACCACTTCTTATGACTCCAATAAGCTAGCATATCCTTTTCAATTTTTGAAATTGTTTACACATTTAGTTTTTTTTTCCTTACCATCATGAAAAGGTACCTTTTCTTTAAAAGAACAGTGAGTTGCAACTCAATTTGCTAATTGGAAGCACAAAATTATGAGCTGGGTTGATTTACTTTACATATTGTCCTGATAAAGGGGGAATAACGAGAGAAAAAAATAAAAGACTTTTTTGGAATTACTTACAACTGGTTCGGTTGAAATGAATTCATTTCAGTCATATTACCAGCTTAAGGTGAATTGTTTTTAGGAGGCTAATGTGGTCGTTAATTGAATCTTTGTGACTGTATTATTGGATTCTTTAGTGGTACGAAAGGAATTCTAGAGGTTTGGAAATTTTTTGCAAAAGATGGATGCCGGAACCAGGAGTTCAAATAAAAGGTGTTGTGTGTATTTGCCATGGGTATGGTGATACCTGCACTTTCTTCTTTGAAGGTTTGCCATTTTGTCTCTTATAAGCTAATATAGAATCATTGGTAATATTCTGTGTTTGATATAAGGAGACTTCGAAATCTCAGGTATTGCAAAGCGAATTGCTGCATCTGGATATGGGGTTTATGCTTTGGACCATCCTGGTTTTGGCCTATCTGAAGGATTGCATGGTTACATACCAAGCTTTGATGAATTAGCTGACAATGTTATTGAACAGTTTACAAAAATTAAAGGTTTGATAAGCATCTTGTCATGTAATGGCTATATAGTTATTGTTATTTCTTGTTTTAGTATCTGATACACATAAATTCTGGGAAGTTTTAATTTCTGATCCATTTTATATCATGATTGGCAGGACGTCCTGAGTTAAGAGGGTTGCCCTGCTTCATGCTAGGGCAGTCCATGGGTGGAGCTGTTGCTCTCAAAGTTCATCTAAAAGAACCAAGCGCGTGGGATGGCATAGTCCTTGTAGCCCCTATGTGTAGAGTAAGTCCATCCTTTCTCCTACTACATAGATGGTTTTAGTGAGTCCTTTATTATTATTTTTTTGGCAATCCATTTGCATTTCTGCATATTTTTAAATATGTGGATTATTTCCAAGCTTCATGTCCCTTATTTCACGAGGGAAAAAAATAGTAATTTGCACTTTGCGAAATGCAAATTCCCCTACTTTTGGTACCCGATTGAAGTTGTGCATCGGTATGTTATCAAATTTGGAAAAGCATATTTATAATGCCTGGCCAGCTGATACCCTGGAGTGCAGCTTACTAATAGATCATCATTTTTAAAATTTGTGAGCTATATTTGTATATTGTTGGGTTTCCGTTGGGAATTTCATGTTTGGCAAACAATTTTCAGCTGCTGCAGAGGTTTATAGTGTGCCTCAGCAGAGGAAGCTCAAGTCAGACTTTAGAACAGTTTCATAATCGCTAAGACTTACCAAGTCCACTGAATAAGCTCATATGTGGTCCCTTTGCTCTGCATATTGATTTTTGAATTTTGTGATCTACCGTCATTGCTCTTACCTTGCCTGGTTTCATTATTACCAGAGACAAGCAAAGCCTTGGTATTTCATCGTTAGCAAAAGGCTTTGCGTTGGAGATTTGCAACATACACACTACGTGCGCTCGCGCACACACACACACACACCAAACAGCCCTTATCACAATGATTAAAATAATGTTCAGGATTGAACTTGCTGAAAGACATATGGGTTGCTTAATCAACATTGACCTGATAATTTGGATCAATGGCATCTGATACTGGAATGTTGACATAAAATAAATTATTGTCAAACCTAGTGAACAAATCAGGCAGATAGAGGCTGTCAAACATTGTCTGTGAGTCTTTAAAATTGACCAGTGAAAAGAGTGGTGGCTACAATATGCACCTAAGTTTAATAATCTGTTTGCTTCTTAAATTTTGCCAATGGGGACGCATATAATATTGTTATTGCAAGTTGATCACTATCATCTTATCATCACCTAGGTGAGGCAGGATTGTCTTCGCTCTCCATAAACTGATACGTGGATTGGTATTTGTTTGCTCTTTTTGGGTCTGACTACAATGGGTGTTTAAGGAAGTTGCAAGCATAACTCTTTTATCTGCAGAAAGCTACTCTTGATTCACCTACTTGAAAATTTTCTAACCTAGAGTTATTGCCAAGATTGCAGAGGATATTCAGCCTCCAGCACCAATTCTGAAGGCATTAATGCTTCTTTCTAAAGTTATGCCAAAAGCAAAGCTCTTGCCACAGAAAGATCTAGCAGCACTTTGCTTCAGAGACCTGAAGAAAAAAAAAATGGTCTGCATTCTATTTACTCTCTGCTCAGAAGTACTTGTATCATATTGCACCATAATTTAAGCCAATTGTTTCACTTGCTGCTGCAACAAGCCTTACTATAATGCTTTTCGGTGATTTAAACGTGACCATGGAAAACCCAAGCTCATTATTGGGCCTCAAATGCTTAGTAACTTTGGTGCTTTAATTTGAAAATACTTGGTTTTATGTTGGTTTTGTCTGACAGCCTTACAGCATTGATGAATAAGATGCTTCTTAAGCTTTTCAATAGTTTATCTGATTAGTTCTCCAATGATTACAAATTAAGTGATGAACTCATGCATCTTCATATCTACCAAGATGAATTGCGTTCTAATCATCTCTAGAGCATTTCTCATATTTGAATGCACAAGGAACATCTACTTTTTTATAACCAGTAAACCCAATAAATCAGAATCTGCTAATACAAATAAAGAAACCTCATTATGCATTAACGCTAATACTATTAATTCAGAATCTGCTAGTATATAGATCAAATTATAACATCATGAAGAAACTTCTTAGTCCTTACTACTATGTAAAATCAGGGCTTCCTGCTTTCTCCCAACTTCTCCAACACCCCCACTTGAACTTTTTTCTCTTTTATAACATTTAAGAGAACTCATGTGTTGCCATAAAAAATCTGAAAATTGATATGTGCGTGAATGACTCACATTCACTTGAAGAAGTAACAAATTTCTTGCTGGAATTTTCTGGTAGATGTAATTGTGCTTTTAAATTTCAAATGTTCAGTATTCCCTATATGTTCTCACAACAATGTTGTTCATTATTTCTACTTCAGGCTGACTACAATGTTATCTGTTACAATGACCAAATGCGATTGAAAACTGCTGTGGAGCTCCTGAATGCAACTAAGGATATTGAGAAACAAGTGGAAAAGGTTAGGTTTTTAATCTATTCTAGTTTCGTGATTCCTTCATCCATCTTTGTTACCTAAACAAGGCCGTGCATGCTTTTGATGTGACACGCACACACACACACATTTATCAAGATAAGTTGGCTGATTCATGAGGTGGTGTTGTTGCAGGTTTCATCTCCATTGTTGATTCTTCACGGAGCTGCTGATAAGTTGACAGATCCTCTAGTGAGCCAGTTTCTCTATGAGAAGGCCTCTAGCAAAGACAAAACGCTGAAGCTCTATGAAGGGGCCTATCACAGTATTCTTGAAGGGGAACCTGATGCCAGAATTTTTGCAGTCTTTGATGATATTATTGCATGGCTTGATTCCAGATGCTCAGCTAAGTAAAAATACAACTTTCATTCAACAGTTCTCCATGCGATTTCCTCTCTGGCTCTTGGGTTAGTCAACCTTTGCCACCCAATTTTTTAAGTTTAGTTAGTAATGCTAATTTTTAGAAGGAGCTGAAAACCAAGAAAAATTTCAGTTTCAGTCAATTGTGTTTGTTTATTGAGCATTATAAGCGATGGTGGCAGCTTGCTGAGTTTGTACTACATACAAAAGATGTTCAAATAAAAACGGTTGCACTCAAAGTTAAATAGGTTTTTCACCTTCTGGATTATTGTAATCATATCGGCTTGATTGCAATGGCATATGCAGAACACCTTTCTGAGGTTCTGAGCCATTTTAATTCAATGTTCTGCAAAATGGTAGAATCTCAATCTTTCTCTGCAGATCCTTGTAGGGTTAGTGATGGATGCCACTCGAAAATCTTGCCATTGTTCATATATAATATCATTCTTAGAGAAGAAGGTACCTGAATTACTGCTGTAGCAAGTAGACAAGTGCAGACACATCGTAAATAAACAATGTTTTCAAAATGACAACACGCCACCAGCCTATCTATATATTAAAATTTTGGGCTCGACTGTTCCTATAAATCCATAGTAAAAAAGAAAAAAGAAAAAATAAAAAAAAAAACAATCTAAACGAAGAAGTAAACGGTCATATCTCCGGGAAAAGATGAGGAGCCTCATGGACTAACCCATCAGGTTGTAATAATGAGGAAGAATCATGTCCAAGGTTGTTTGTAGAAGTAGTCGGTCATATCTCCGGGAAAATATGAGGAGCCTCATGGACCAACCCATTAGGTTGTAATAATGAGGAAGAATCATGTCTAAGGTTGTTTGTAGATAAAGTGAAAAGTAATGACGTATGAAATTTAGGTTTTTTGAATAAACTCCGTCAAAGTTAGGTTTTTTTCACAATTATGAGTCTTTTTTCTCATGGTTTTATAGTTATTTGTCCCAACATACTAAATGTATGCTTCATATCCTAATTCTCCAATGTATAAAGGATTTATTATTTCATAAAAGGCAAGGTTCAACACACACATATGTTTTAAAAGATCCATCTCTCTCTCTCTCTCTCTCTCTCTCTCTCTCTCTAATCAATGCAAAGTATTCAAATTTGACTTAACCATAGGAGTGCTTTTGTCAAGCACCTCTAAGTATCACTTAACTCGGATGCTCGTGCTCCTTTAGAAGATACAATCATCATTTTTTCAACTTCTTCCAAAAGGCTGAATATCAAATACAATAAATCTATATGTCGGATCTCGTGCATCTTTAGCGGCATCGCCTATGAAAAAATATTCAAAAAGCTAGTTTTTCAACTCTCTATAAAATTTTCAAGCTTCTCCATGGTATTTTCAACGTCCAAATTCAGCAATACCGATGTCTTCCTTTTTACCTTGTCAACTCTTAAATTTCAATACGAAAAGCTAAATCTAGAGGTATGGTATATGCTTTATCCAATTATCCATCACTTAGATGAGGTAATATATTTCTTAATTCAAGAAACACAATACCGCAAAAATAGCATACATATCTATCATAATCATCACCTCCAAGTGTAGATGATGAACAATTTATTTGTTTATATTGTCATTTTATTTTTATTATGCTCGTGTGCTTTTAAAATGGTATTAATTTGCATTACATGACCTACATAGATCCACCCATCCAAACACCTTTTCGGAGAATGTATCAATTATTGATTTTATTAATATTTTATTTATGGTAGTAAGAGTGTTAGAAAAGTAGACAAAAGCAAGTAAAGCCATCATGTGATACCTTCTTTTTATAGCACACATGTAATGAAGACACTAATTTGTCATATATTTTATTATTTTCTCGCATGAATCAACTAACATGCAAATTAGACGAGATGCTTTAATCCATTCATGATCCTCACCATGATCAAGTTAAAAAAAAGATAAAAGAGCGCACAAGACAAACTTAGACGACCATGAATAACAAATGCCCACCACTTAGGATAAACTCATGCGAAATAAAGTTGCCAAATCATTAAAAAAAAGATGTCTAAAAGTGGACGTAGGCTATAGAAGAAGGAAAAGTAGTGATTCCGGAAGAGAAAAAAGAGAGGAAAGAAAGTGGCTCTATGAGAGAGAAGAAAAGAAAGGAAAGTAGTTGCTCGAACATCCATCACAACTCCACTATTGACACCGTTGAACATTTAGATTCTTTTCGATGAGACAAAGTCAACGCCACTAGTTTCGCTCAAATTCTCCTAAAAAAATGTTCCACGTATTGAGAGTGTATGAAGGACATTATAGCTCATGCTAGTGCTTGAAACACACATTTCGACAACCCTTTATCTTTTTCTACTTTAGTCCTTGAACTTTTCAATTCCGTGAAGATTAGTCTATGATTTTTCTAATTCACTCGATTCTATACCTCTTAAAGGAATTTATCTCCACGTTTGGGATCTTTCTTTCTCATATTTGGGTTCCTCCATTCCTCTTTAAGGATGTCTTTCTCATATTCGGGTTCCTCTTTCTCTTAAAGAGTCCATCCCTCTTAAAGGATCCCACTCCTTTCTAAAAAATTATCCTTTATTTAGAGAGTCCATTCATTCTCAAAGATCTCAATCTTCCTTAAAGAGTCAATTCCTCTCTTATCGTTCGGATAGCTATCGAGCTTAAGCCAAGACACAACACTTGTAGAGCATAACCTTTTAAAGAGGTTTCAAATTGCATGTATAGCTATATGAATACATAAAGGCCTAATAATTGGGAAAACGAATATAGACATTCAAATAATTGCGTGTACTCACCATTGAGTGAATGTACGACAAGTTATATCAATCATACGATTAGCTTGAATTGAAAGCCTTAATATGAGGATCACGAACTAATATGTCTTACCATCTAGGTAGGGAACAAACCTCTCGCTTACATAAAATTGCTCTAGTTTTCTTACTCATATTTGTAAAAAAATTCATCTTATGAGTTTTGATTCTCAAAATTGGTTCGGATCGAGAGGGAAATACTATAAAAAAAGTTATATGAGATAAATTAGGGCTGAAGTATACTCTATCTAGGAAAAATAGGTATGGATAAGCCAAAAAGAGAAGAAGAAAGAATAAAAAAAAGAATGATAAAAGAAAAAAGAGAAGTTGATGTAGATCTAGGATAGAGAAGAAAAAAGAAAAAAAGAAAACAAATCGTTAGACTTTTATTGTTGCTCTATGGCCAATATATACCGGCCAACCACCATCGCCTAGGCTCGACGAAGCCCATGCCACATGTCAAGGAACCATTTTGTGGTCGATCGGTGCCATATATGCTGAAAGAGGTTTGGCCATGCCACACCACATGCCTCTACACACCTAATAGCCGGTCTCGATCTTTTCCGCTTTGGTTCTTTAAGTTTTTATCACTAGCAATTTCGACCCTAAATTTACATTTAGCTTCTAAATTAGTCTCCACGTTCTATCCATCGACACCGTCATCCTTCTATTTTATTTAGGATTTCATCCCCAACCAGTAAACACCTACTTATATTGATTGGTGATTAAGCCACCCACTACTAGATGTTCGATCAAGATATTAACGACTTCAAACAAAATGATTTATCTAAATGATTCCAAGAATTTTGGGTGTAAAAAATTGAACATTATCCGTAAAATTTATTGAGTGATAAAAATTAAAGTATGTCAAGCGAAAGCCTCTCACATTATGAAGTATAAAAGACATCATTATTTTTTTCTAGGGTGATGTAATGCTAGCTTTCTATAGAAAAGTGGTCAATAGACACCTCATACAACCGTTACATAACGACATAGATTTTCCTAAATAAAATACAAAACATGACAATAACCAACTAGTGTAGAAAAAAATAATACTAGTGGAAATCACATGATGATTACCCCCTATTTAGAACAAGTTAATCAAACTTATAGTTTCTACTCGTGGCCACTAGAATCCTCCGACTAGGGATCCATCTCTCTTTAAAGACTCCACTTGGTCAATCCAACTACAAAAGGTCCAATAAACCATTAGACTATATTATAATGCACAAGCTAAGAACAAACATTTTCATGTTAGAGATTTTGTTTTAAAAAAGGTGGAGGCTACCGTAAAGGTGAAAAATAAGGTGAAACTAGCACCCAAATTGGATGAACCATACAAAATGTGAGGATCATCAATGTTAACACTTATACTTTATTAGCTTCATGCTAATTATTCAAAACACATAACCTCTACATGCCTAAGTTCATGCTCCCAAAAGGACATATGATCACATTATCTCTAGAAATATGGTCTAAGAGTTTTAAAGGAATAAAAGTACAAATAGTAGACTTGAATCTAGTTTAAGAGTTCTAGTCGAACAAAAGTGAAGACATATATAAGAATCCAAACTCTAAAGGTACAAACAAATGATAGACACGACAACATTTCTTTAAGAATCTCTAATTCCTTCGAGAATATACAGATCACATTCTCTCAAGAACTCATGACAATACTTCTCTAGAAATCCCAAATTCCTTTGAGAGAGTACAACCTATTCTTTTAAAGAACTTATGATAACATTTTTTTAATAATCTCTATTACTCTAAACACATGTTTCTAGGAACTCATTCCTCAAAAATTCTATTTCTCTAGAAGTCTCTATTCCTTCAAGAGTATACTTCTCTAAAAACTCACTCTCTAAAGAATCCATTCCTCTAAAAATCTCTATTATTCTAGGAATAAGTTTCTTAGGAACTAATAACCACGATATCTTTAATCCATGATCTATTAAAATTACATTATATAATCTTGTCTCAAACCGAGTGAGCTTTGCTTTAAGATAAAAAAGGAAACTATGAGATATGAAATTTAGAATCTCTTACAAAACCCACTAAAACTAGGTCTTCTCACAATTATGGATCCTCTTTTTCATAGCCTTATAACCACCTAACCTAGCACACTAAAGTGCTCGTTTGATAATCGGGAATAAAGTGATGGGAATGGAAATGTAGGAATCGAAATGAAAATTAAG